CGAACAAGGAAAAATCTTGCTCGAGACAAGAGGGACTCTAATACCATAAAGAATTGGAAAACTTATTATTTTATTTATATCATAATATATATTTCTATTGAAGGAGAGATTTTTATCAATCATATACTCAAATTATATAATCAAATTATTTATAATTAATCCTTAAATCATAAATCAATTTAAGATTTCTAGACGTGAGATTTGGATTTGACTATATAATATATATATATTTTATCTTTAATATATATTTCTATATAATTCAACTCACGAATTTATTTATGATTTTTTTTATTCAGCGTCATAATTTGATTTAAATGAATTATTTCGGATAAAATTTATATTAAATAAAAAGCCAAAAGATAGCCATGTGTTGACAATGTATTTCTACAACACCGCTGGTGGTTATTCTTTCATCAGATTTAATTCATACTAATTCCCAGACGTTTTGGGGACTTTATTATAAACCGTGGGACTTTATTTGCAAATGAAATGATGTGAGGGGCTTACGTAAAGAAACCTCACTATTTATGCGACCGACTCCGAACCCTTCGTTCTTGTGGCGGCTCTCTTTTGGCGTCTCGTCGCTTCTGGTTCTGTGAAAGTCGACGGAGATTCGAGAGGAGGATGGCGGAGGTGGGCGAGACGATGGCGGCGAGCTCTGGTGGCGAGGGCGGAGTAGAGGCGCCACACCGCCTGGAGAGGAAGTGGACGTTCTGGTTCGACAACCAGTCGAAGCCGAAGCAGGGCGCCGCCTGGGGCAGCGCCCTTCGCAAGGTCTACACCTTCGACACCGTCGAGGAGTTCTGGTGGTACGACACCCCTGATGTTTGATCTGTTCCTCCTGATCTATATTACGATCTGTGGTGCTTGAGAGGGTTTATCGTTCGTCTTGCTTGTATTCATATTTTCTAGCCTGCCCTGGAAGTGAATCATAGCTTTGTATGATTCTTTGCAGTTTTGCGGGTTGATGATTTATTTAGTAGCCTTCTTTCTTTAGATCTTAAAAAAGGAATAATGGAGGAGACGCCTTCCATCATGATTTTAACCCTAAATCCTTAACGATGAAGATAGGAAAGCAATTATACTTATTTTTATCGTAAGAACATGTGTGGTTATCACTCTTTTTTTCTATAAGTTCATGTTCAAAGGGAATAAAGCATCATCTCGGTACTTTGAACTACAGCTTCTCCATTTAATTGTTAGGAGTTCTAGAAGTATCAACTCAAACAGCACAACAGGGTGTTCAAAATTTGCAAGTATTTGGGTGCTGAAATCTTTTTCTTTTTTTCTACTGTTTTGTGATTTATTTTGTTGAACAACAGTTGGTATAAAACTCGTTATAATCCCAATCGAACATTGTAAGAATCATATGACTATGTACTTTTAACCCTCTGATGTTAATAAGGTTATGGCATTCGTTCTGTTGTTATATAACCAATCTTTAACCAGGGCTCTTGTAATTTTGTCTCATCTTCCATGTTAGCTTTAAATTTGCTAAATAACTGTGCATTTGGTTTTGTTTTTTTCTTTGCAGCTTGTATGATCAGATCTTTCGTCCGAGCAAATTGCCTGCTAACACTGACTTCCACTGTTTCAAGTCCGGGATAGAACCCAAATGGGAAGATCCTGAATGTGCAAATGGAGGCAAGTGGACTGTTACATGTAACAGAAAGGCCAGTCTTGACACCTTGTGGCTAGAGACGGTGTGTCATTTTTATTTTTTTGACAGTAATTTGCTCTTAAGTTTGTAGCGACTATTTTGAAATTTACTAGATTGTAATCCTAAGTAATTTTTGATATGCAATTAACTGGATTTTGCAGTTGATGGCTTTGATTGGGGAGCAGTTTGAAGAGAGTGAGGAAATTTGTGGTATTGTTGTTAGTGTACGCCAAAGGCAGGACAAGCTTGCGTTGTGGACAAAGGCAGCAAGCAACGAAGCTGTTCAGGTTCTTTTCTTTCATACTTGAATAAATTTGTGATGGATATTAATCTGTAAAGACATAATATAATATAAATTACTTTACACTGTAGGTAGTCATATACAACATTGGGTGTTCGTGTTTCTTTCTTTTACCGTGATCTTTACAGAAAATGTTGGTGGCACTGTTTGGGTGCTGTTTTTGAATTAATTACTTGATGGTGTCTTTGGTCCATGATAAGGCCCCATCGTGCACTCATGGCATGACCACTGCATTATTTGTGAGCTATGCTTAATGTGTGCTTGCACCATTCGATTGAATATTAACAGTTGTGGCGTTGAGTGCTTAATCACTATTCACCAGCTTATGCTGTTTTGTACCAAAAATATGGTGATATTAGTAAAGCATTAAATTAAAATCTGAATTTTGAAGAAGTTTGCATTACAGAAAACTCTCTCAAGAGGATTCAAGGAATGTCAAAATGCACCAAGAAGTTACAAGTATGACTGGTTGAGTTAATGTTGTTTAGCACTTTGAAAAGATGAAGAGTTGTAAACAGCATCATAGTTGTAAATTTGGGAAAATAAAATGGAAGTCTTAGTAATACAAAATGAAAGACAGTGTAGTGTCATATTATCTTGATGACAACGGGAAACTGGCGTATAAAGTATGATTAATATTGTTAATCTGACTGCTCAGGTAAGTAAAATAAAGGGACATTGACACTCAGACTTTATTTTACTTACCAGATTGATGAGATTAAGATTAACATGCTCAATTCTTACCCGGTTTCCTTCCATAATCTTTATGAGATCTTTTTTCCTATATCGCTTATGATTTTTTTGTCCACAAGACAGCTAAGGAGGTTTTAAGATCTTTGGTTTTCAAAGTTACCAAACACCATTTTGTAGCTTTATTGCTTTTTAACCATCTCTGACTTCCTCTCATCTGTGAACTATTTATACATTTTTTATCATTTCCTTTCTAGTATATTTGTAGTGCAATTCTGTCTTTTGCATCACTTTTTATTCTATGTAGGCTTATTATGTACGATAATTCAACAGACACCTATAAGTGTATTCTCTATTTTAGGGGTAAGAACCAGTGTGCTGAGGTGTACACCTATAAATAGGATGCCCCGGTGCACGAGGTTCTATACTGATTTTTTTTGTGGATCGTTATGAACTGGAAGAATCAACAGTACTTTGCTGATCCCAGGCTGATCTCACCAGTTCTGACTGACTTGTGGCCAGTTCTAACAATTTGCTAGTTCCAATACCTGTCAGGCTTATTGCAGCCTATGCTCACCAATGCCACCAATCTGTCTGATTGCCTTCTGATTCCAGCTGATTCCTAACCAATCTTTAATTTTAGGTTCTTTATAGAATACCCGACTCCATGATCAGATTTTATTGATCTGACCAGATATTAATCCTAAACCTTATGGCTGATCCTGATTTTGTTCCCAATTCCAGAAAACAGAGAACAATAAAGCATACGATGATATTAAATCACTTTTTTATTCTTATGCTTTAGATTTGTTTCCTTGTTTCTCAATATTTTGTACTCAGTTCTGAAACTAACTCGATGAATTCTTTGTTAGATGAGCATTGGGCGGAAGTGGAAGGAAATCATCGACTTCAATGAGAAGATCGTATACAACTTTCATGTACATCTCTTCACAACCTTAAAACCTCAGGAATCAGTCTATCATGTCAGCATATCGACTCGAATGCATTTTGCACTACATCCAGATTTTTATTTGCCTTAATTTTATTGGTTCTATTTAGCACCTCGAAGTGAACCGAAAAACAAAATAGTATGTGTTACCATCTCGTCCTCAGAATGTTAATTTGTTTCCTCCTGCAGGATGACTCGAGAAGAGACAAGTCGAATAGAGGTGGTCGATACAGTGTTTGACTACTTGCGATGAGCTATCAATAGTCGACTTAAAATATTTTGTAACGACCTCTTGGAGTTCCTGAGAGGCTCATCGAAGCTTTGCTTGAGAGGTCACTTGTCTGAGACTTAGTGTTGAATGTTTCGTTTGTATCTGAAAATTCCTACATTTCTTTGTTCCTTATGGATTTTGCTTTATATTGCAGTGGCATATTTTAAGTTTACATGTATCGTGAACTTAATGTGTACGTCGCATATAATCAAATTATGCATTCCCAACACATGATGACGTGCGTTGACAGTCTCTATAAGTAATTCCTACTGCACGTTTTTCCTTTTTCGGGAGAAAGGGGTAATTTTAAGATAGAGATAGATTGTCTCTATAAGTCGATTATATATTCACAGTCTATAAATAGATTACTTTGGTCGTGCGCTTCGCTTCTTTCAAGCTGCCGCCAAGTCATTTTCTTTCTTATAAATCTCATATCAAATTATGCGCGGAAGAATTCTTGAAGCTACTAAAAAAGAGCTTGCACCAGCCGGGAATCGAACCCGGGTCTGTACCGTGGCAGGGTACTATTCTACCACTAGACCACTGGTGCTTTGGTGATGAATGTGTCTTTATTATTTTTGATCTTGAATGCCATCGTCTCGTCTTCCAACCTTCCTTAGATGATAATTTATACTACTTTGGGGATTCATTTATCTCAAAGCCATGTTCTGATACAAATGTCATAGTGGTTGCTGAACTAAACCACACATCAATTATTTGTTGTTAGACGTACATTGAACTGCGAGGACGAAGTCGAGTATAGCAACAAGAAGAGCTCACAGTGCGTGCAACTCCAAGGGCGTAGAGCGAAGCTGTCAATGGCGGCATGCCGGTCTTCTTGCACAGCCGAACGAGGGAGACCTGACGGCAATAGCGGTGACCCCAAACTTACTCATGCACCTCAGAGGTCTTCCTCATCGAAGACGTTTCCACGCTTCCTTATCAAACCTTTGAATAATTATGCACTGACCCGCACATACTTCTATGTACAGTGTGAAATGAACGCTTGGGTACGGAAGGCTACAGAGGGAAGGCCATGCGAGGAGTACGTGTGGAGGACAAATTGGTAATCTGCGTCTGACAGAGTCTATAAATGACCAACCACTCCGTGAGTGTTCGAAGCACCATAGCTCGGCAATGGCGGAGAGCAGAGAGACTGGGGAGGGAGACTACGCCAAGGATGGCTCCGTGGACCTCAAGGGGAGCCCTGTGCTTAGATCCAAGAGAGGCGGATGGACTGCTTGCTCCTTCGTTGTTGGTAACAAATAATATGCCTTGTATAACTTCCATCTAAGCTTCTAATTCCCATACATCGGTCGGTGATCATTCTTGTTGTGCAGTGTACGAGGTGTTTGAGAGGATGGCGTACTATGGAATCTCATCCAACTTGGTGCTGTATTTGACCAACAAGCTCCATCAGGGCACCGTTGATGCAGCAAACAACGTCACCAACTGGGTGGGCACTGTGTTCTTGACACCAGTCTTAGGGGCGTACGTCGCCGATGCTCTTCTCGGCCGATACTGGACCTTCCTCTTCTCTTCTGCCATCTATCTCTCGGTAACTCCACTTCACTCCCTTCAACTCAGGTTTACTTCTCCTTTTTCGTTTGATTTCACTGCCTTCAACTCAGATTTATCTCTTTATCTTTAGCTGCTAGACAAAATTTATCTCAACACTGTTAACTCCAAGTTTTCGTATGCATTGCTGATCTATTTTCCACTTGTAGTAGACACAAGCATTTAACCTTTCTCACTGGAAACGTATACTTATACGCGACCACAAGACATCTCACCATCCTCACCAGTAAAGCACTGCTTTTCTAGAAGAACAAGTATTCGATACGTGTGGATCTCCATGACATCAACAAGTTTGTGTGGAGCTCATCAGCTAACCTTCTGTGGAGCTCATCTCCATGACTCCATATTTGATTTCCATAAAATAAAAATATCGTATGGGATAGGGCTTTACATCGAAATAAAAAATATTTTTTTTTAAAAAAAAAAGTAATTAATTTTGTTGGTAAAAAACCTTAATAATCTATCATAAGATTCCACTGTCCGAGAAACCCTAATGTCAAACACGCTACATATGGTGTCATGTCAAATGAGCAATCATTTCGTTGACCGTCATGTCTTACATGATAGAAGCGTTGACTGTTCCAGTTGGCTCTGACCCACCATAGGACCAACTCCATGAATGCCAAGGGACACCCTTGCCTCGACTCAACTTATAGCCAATCCCCTTCGACATGATTGCCATGGTTGGCAGCTAGATCCAGTCTTCCCCATGCATACAAAGATAGTCAAAGCAGAGACAATCTTTCATAGATATCGGCGCCGGGAAGCTATTGTGACCTTGTCGGACTCCTCGTAGACTTTTCTGTCCTACTATCGTCTTCATCCTTCGGCAACCGACAGTGGCCTCGTTGGTCTCCATGTGGACTTTTCTTCCGTGCCACTGACTTCTCCCCATCAAACAATCGGCAAAAATCTTGGTTGTCTGTGTGGTGATGGATTAACTCAAAACAAATGAGAACCGAGACTTCCATCTCACCATTATTTGAGTTCATCCTTATCTGACTTCCTCTTCGATTCATTTGTTTCATGCTCTGAGAAGTCGCTTTCATGTTCTCCCAAGCTAGTTCACATTCACGTTGACTTGAAATGTTAGCGCGAATCAATCGTTTTTTCTACATACTGATGTGCATGACCTATCTGTACTGTCAACTCATTAATTAATAGACTGATAGACACTAATTCATTAAATAATTATTATTAATTTATATATATATATATATATATAATTATTTGTTTACTCCTTTTTTTCAATCATTCTCCTTATGAGACATACAATATCTTCTAACATTTTTTCCTATGTGACTCAATTATCTTCTCAGAATAAATGGTACGATCATAAACTTGACTATTTATCATTCAGATTTAATTCTTTTTTTTCAATCATTATTTTTTTGTACTCACTCTCTCTTTTTTTTTAATCATCCACTTTTCTCTTTCTCTCTCCTATCTTTCTTTTTCTTTTTAATCATCACTCATTTACAAATCTTGACTCTAATATCATGTTAGAAATCCATTAACAATAAGTGAGTCAATAGTAAAAGTTATATTGAGTTTGACACGAATTCAATCCAAAAGTTTAAGCTGTTAGATTGTCAAACATATATCATCCAACTTTCTCGATATTTATAAATTCAGAATTATTCTCTGAATACTTTTTTCAATCCTTTCTAAATATCTTCTTAACACTCACCGTAATATATATGATAATTCACTACCAAACAGTCAGAACCGAAGAAGATAGCAGTGGCCAAGTAATAATCCTCCTTGATCTTTATTGGTAGTGAAAGAGCATCTATTTGAGAATTCCAGTGGGAAAAGTAGTCTTTTTTTGGCAAACGAATCCAAAGAGGTCATCATCTTCTCAACTTGTGCATGACGAATGCCAAACTCCATGCTCACAGGGGATGTGTTTGCTGACGCTAGCAGTCTCCATCTCTCCGCTGAAACCAGAATCCTGCAAGGGAAACTGCGAGCCAGCTTCAACACTGAAGTTGGCTGCCTTCTTTGGGGGACTGTACATAATAGCACTGGGAAACGGTGGAACAAAGCCCAACATCTCGACCATCGGAGCAGACCAGTTCGATGAGTTCGATCCCAAGGAGAAGATGCACAAGCTCTCCTTCTTCAACTGGTGGATGTTCAGCATCTTCGTGGGGACCCTCTTCGCCCACACGTTCTTGGTCTACATACAGGACAACGTGGGATGGAGTTTAGGTTATGGAATTCCAACCCTTGGTCTGCTGATCTCGGTGTTGATCTTTTTGGCTGGCACACCATATTACAGGCACAAACTGCCCCAAGGAAGTCCATTTACCAGGATGGCAAGGGTTATAGTGGCCGCGACAAGGAAGTGGAAGCTTCCCATACCTAATGACCCAAAGGAGCTTCATGAGCTTGATCTGGAGGTGTATTCTAAGAAAGGAAAGTTCAGGATCGACTCCACCGATTGCTTAAGGTCAGTGCATCCACAAGTACTCAAGTTACGCTATCATCAAACGCAAGTGTCTCCATTCTCTCACCATTCCAAAGTGCAGGTTCCTTAACAAAGCTGCAGTAAAATGCAGCCCAACCACGCCATGGACACTGTGCCCGGTCACACAGGTGGAAGAGACGAAGCGAATTCTACGACTGCTGCCGATTCTGGCCGCCATGTTCATTCCCTGCACCCTGATCGCTCAGATCAACACTCTCTTCGTCAAACAAGGCACTACTTTGGATCTTCACATTGGGCCGCACTTCCAAATCCCCCCAGCTAGCCTGGGAGCATTCGTCACTGTTTCCATGCTCGTAACGGTCGGCCTTTACGACTGCTACTTCGTAAAGGTCATGAGAGTTTGGACAAAGAACCCAAGGGGGATCACCTTGCTCCAGAGAATGGGAGTGGGACTGGCACTTCAGATCGTCTCCATGTCGGTCGCGTCGCTTACCGAAGTAAGAAGGCTAAGCATTGCAAGAAACCATGGAGTAGACAAGACGGGAGGCCATATTCCTGTCACCATCTTCATATTGCTTCCTCAGTTCGTGCTGATGGGAATAGCAGATGCATTTTTGGTCGTTGGGAAGATAGAGTTCTTCTATGACCAAGCTCCGGAGAGCATGAAAAGCTTGGGGACTGCCTTCTCCTTGACAGCTTATGGGATTGGTAATTTCTTCAGCAGCTTTCTCCTAAAACTGGTGGCTGACATAACGAGCAAGAATGGCAAGGGATGGATACTGAACAACCTGAATGCCTCACGTCTAGACTACTACTATGCACTCCTCACTGTTCTTGGTGTCTTCAACTTCATCTTCTTTTCATATGTGGCCCACATTTACTCCTACAACCGGGAGTTATGCGAATCTATGGATGCGAGAAGGGAAGAACAAGGGGTGAAGTGTGATCAGAAAGAGACAAATGGCCAAGTTCAATGCTTATGATGCATTGGTGGAGTAGTGAGAAGGCCAGATTAGTCTCACAGATGCTGTGATATCGGTTGATATGCATATCGGAGAATGCTTTTAGTTGCATTAGTGTCTTTATATTGCACTGCTGTAAACATCCAAGATGTGATGGTTAAACTGAATGCGTCGTGAATGCTTCAGCCATCAACAAGAAATAAGATTTGGGAAACCGATGCAGAAAGAAAATGTAGTTTTACGACTGATCTTTAATATACATACACACAGCATCACATTAGAATCGATTTCATGCACTAACATCTTTTCCAGTTAATACTTCACAAACCAACAGCTGCTGACATGAGAAAGAAATGAAAAGAAATTATTCCCAGAAGACCATCAAACAGTAAAAATGAGAATGAGAGGTGCTCTGCCATGGTAAAACAACTCCATTCATTGACCATTATAGACACACCGGCATATGGCAGAGCTTAATACATACAGTACCATCAAGAACATGCTCACCAGAACATATCTATCATGGCCTCTTTCTGTCCACAAGGATCGAATAAAGGCAAATGGGTCATTTTATATTTCTGACAGACCACTCTGAACCATTAGCGACCATCACAAGAACTCGTAGCTACTAGTAACACTAACTCTGGTGCAGCATTGTTGATCTCCGTTCCATCGGAAGAGTGCTGCTGCTGCATTACAAAGGTGAGTAGCCCTACAACACACCTTGGAATGAGCTCTTAATAAGTTACCATAAGCTTCGGCATCATCTTCTCTTCACCAAGGAGTACCTTGTCAGCTCTAAAGATCATTACACTACACCCGGAACAGGGAGCTCTGGATGTGGTGACAAAAACGGTTGGCATTGCACTCCTCTCCCTCTCTCCTCTGGAATTCCTGGACAGAGATAGTTGGATGATGTTCTCCCTATGAGTCGATTTCCACCCATTCATACCGGCCTGGGAGTGGGTGGTCATTCACAGGATCGTAGTTGTACCTGGAAGTAAGACAAAAAGGCAAGAAGAGAGGTTGGTAATAGCCAGGTATACATCAGGGTTTTATAGCAATAGATGCAGATGGAACTCAGCAGCAGCACGTTCTTTTGCTAGTAAGTTTAGGAAATGAGAAGAATATGAAGAATTGTATACTTTTCTATGAATATTTGCTGCTGGAGTTTCTCTAGCCCCATAAAAAACTCTTCCATTTCGCAATCAGTGGGGAAGTTTTGTGGCATTGGATTCTGCATTCTCCGGTGACCGGCAATTGAGTAGCTAGATCTTGTTGTAGAACCTGGAGTCACTGCTGTTGCCGAATCCCTTATCGAGCTGCAAGGTGTCATCTCTCTGACAATGCAGTAACCAAGAAATAGCATTAGAACCAAAGCACTCAAGTAAAATAAAATTAAAAAGATCATAAGATCCTCAAAACATAATTTATCCAAGAAATGAAAAGACAGGCACATAATAAAACCCTCAAAATACTTAACAATGGACCAAAAACACACTAGTAAAAGTTCCCATATACTTCTGACATTGCAATTGAACATTTCCATCATGCATCCAACTGAAGTAAAGAAGGCAACAAAAGAACCACGGCAAGCTTCCAAGTCACGAGCAGTCAGATCAAAAGATTGATTCAGATGTGCAAAACCTAAACAAGGGCTCTAAAGATTACACATGAACCCACATAAAAGACAAAAGATACAGTCAAGTGTTAATGATACCAACCGTTGTCGGAAGGAAAAAGCTACCAAAAATTCAAATCTAATTTTGCACATGCTTGAAGTGACCATTTATCGTCAAAGCACTCCAAAACAAGAGCAGAATGCTAGCAACAAAGACAAATAATTGAGATGTAGACATGATTGCACGCACTTCGTCGACAAGGATCAAACCTGCCGACTGATTTGCAGGCAGACTCAGCATCAAATGAGATGTTCAACCATTATCTTGTTCTTCCTTTGTTTTTTTACTTACCTCACCACTTTCTTTACCATGGCCAATGGTCCATCCACAGAACCACAAGGGATCAACTCAACTTCAAACTACCACTAATCCCTCTCCCCCGTTTTGCCTTCAACCTAAAAAAAGAAAATTCAACAGTGTGGGACTTTGTAATCAATAACTCAGTATAACCATTTTAGAAGGCTAAGTTTCACAGCATGTCCTCATCCTACTCCAGGGACTAAAAATGTATGGAAAAGATCATGGAACTAAAATAAATCAGAATAAATGCCACCCAACTTTGTTGAGTTTGATGAGTTTTAGTTGGACCAAGTTATGTGAATCAGGATCTGTTTGGTACTTAGCAGTCTCAAGCATCTTGCAAGTACCAAGGAAGCAAAAAAGACGTAGGGCCACAATTGTAGGCTGTCATTAGCTGGTAAATCCACTCAGGCATTTATAGGCATCAAGGAGGTCCCCTCATTGATGGACACAAATAGGAGTTCCATAAATCTGCTGATGGTAAAGCTTGTAATCCATATCTCAGAAACAAGATACAAAATCAAGTAACAAGTTCAGTAGCAGAAGCCGAAGCCGAAGCCGAAGCAAATAAAATCAAAGTCTCAGAAACCAAAAATCAGTGAGAACCACAAAAGTTGCAAAGACAAAGATAAAATTAGGCCTCAGTGAAAAGCATTTCTAAGGATAAACTCGAAGACCAAAGAAGATAAGCACAATAATGAGAACTTTCTTTTGAAGAATACTGCATTTCCAAACAAAACAGGTCCAAACTCCCCATTGTCCAGTAAGAATAAAATATAGATGTTGATAAGCCAAGAAACCCAAAACAGAACGAAAAAGGAGCAGAGCAAACTCAAAGCTTAAACCCTAGTGTAAAATAGGGTTTCTGATAATTTTGTAGGTAGCACCCACCAAGAACGAAGAAAGAACATCTGTATGGAATGATTAAACCCCATCAATTTCGATTTCAAGCATAAAAGTTAGAAGAAACTACACAAGAGACTGAAACATGAAAACCTATATTTTGATATAATTTTATTTTTCGGTGCTAAAAGAACCAAAAGAAAGAACTTTCTTGGAAAAGAAAGAAAAAAACAAAACCCTAACCAAACAAGATCCGACAAAAAGCATCAGGCTTGGGAAGCCTAGCTAAAAAAAATCAGTTTTTTAGGCAAAGAATCCGGCAAAAACCCACCTTTCTCTCGATTCAGACTCGAGGAAGTTCTCGCCGAACGACACTTCCACATCCGGCGACGCACCCTCGCCCCTGTCCAAACACCTCCTCATCCGAACGGACCCCGCCGACCGCGAATTCGACGCCGAGGAACGGTTCGCCCTCTGAGAGGTAAGCTTTGGACTAGGGTTAGATTTGGGCTTGCATGCCGAAACCAGAGGCAGGGGCTTCTCGAGGCGGCGACTACGGAGTTCGAGGTAGGCGAGGGAGGAGTCCTGTGCCGCTGCGGCGGCGGCGGCGGCGGCGGCGGCAGCAGCAAGGGCCCGAGCGCGGGTGCGGACACCGAGGGAGGGCTGGTGGGCAGCGACCTCCATGACCGCCACCTCGCCGGAAAGTTTGGCTTTCCTCATATATTTCCCCATCGTATATCCTTCCCCTCCTTCACCCTCTATTGGTTCACTCCACGAAAGAGAGAAGGAACGACGAAAGAAGGCGTGGGGAGAGATAAGAAGCGGAGAACGGCAATGGAAACAGAAGAAAAGAGTGAGTTTTGGGAAGCGATAGTGGGGGGAGATAGGTGGGGTTTTGGAGAGGTATTGAGTTTTGGGAATAGATAGTGGCGGTGGGGAGGGGGGAGAGAGGTAGTGGGAAGCAAAAACAGAGGTTGATGTTTGTACAAGACGACAACGTACGTGTATTGTACTTGAAACGCATCCGTAGGCGTATTTTAAGGAAGACTTAGTTGAAATTGATATAAGTTAATTCATTAAAAAGAATCGATTAAATATTTTTTATTATATTATATTTGAATCAGATTTTGAAGAAATCTATATTGGCTGACTGTCTTAATTATATTATTAACAGTGAATAATACCGTTATTTTTAGTTTTGAATTTTTTAAATCATTCTTCGGATTGATTACTTTCTGATCCTTCAATAAAAATATTTACTTAATTTATTAAAAATAAAATTAATAATTCTTTTGAATCAAAAAGAAAAAATATGGGTGCATGGTTTACGAGATTATCTTCACTTTTTCTTTTAAATTTATATTGATATATACTTAAACGTTGTTGTCATAATATTTTTCAATTAACATTTTTTCATAAATTAACATATTTTCAATTAAAAAACATCGTTTCTTTTAAATTAAGGATTTAAAAATAATATTTTCATAAATTCTCGATTAATATTTTTTATTTATTCTCATAAAATATTTTTTTCCTAAAAGACATCGTTATATCTAGCCTCTTGTCTCCCCTCCCACTTTCTTCTTTCCTCGTTTTTCTTTTTCTCTTCTTTTATTATCATCTATAAGGATTTGTTATTGCTTGTTAACAACTTTAATATTGCCCAATAGTACATTAACATTATTATTGTCAATGCATTAGTCTCTAATTGATCCTTCGTTACTATCCCTTTATCAAAGTTGATGATGGAAATGACATAACGAAAGGGGGATTTAGCAACATCATTCCTCATACCCTCATTTGTCGCATCTTTGCCTAGTCACCTCTGCCTCTCGTTTATAGTTGTTGTTAGAAATGAGAAATTATAAATATGTGTAAGGATATGAGCATCTCTGATTTCATTATGTCGACAATAACAACATTTATGATGAGTGATAGTGAAACACTTATGATCAAATCTCAAGAATGATAAGTAGAAGATTATGAGATGTTGGAGAGGAATGAAGGTTGAGAACAACTAGATCATCATCGATCACTCTATCAAGAGATTACTCACCTCAATCGTCAATACATAGACAAACAAAAGATGAAAACAACAAATAAAAATGATAGTTGAAGCAATGGATAAAGGCACAATAACAATAACAAATAAGGGCCGAAGACTACGAGTGATAACGAAAGACAATGGTTAATTGGGGCAAAGGCCAACAGTAATATATTTATAGGAAAAAAAAGATGCCAATAAATAAAAAATGGATTATAACTAAACAGATTTATGAATATAAAAGTTTTTTTTTGAAGAATTTATCCTATTATATATTAATATGTTTATAACTAAAATAAAAAAAGATCATAATTACGCATATTGCATCATATCCATTAGAATGAATGCCGAATCCAAAGTCTGTGGAATCAAACGCAGCTGCTCGTCTGCATGTGAGAGAGAAGGCTTCGTTTTAGAACCAAAACGAAATGCATGGCCATATCCCCACACACGGAGGAAGAGCTTCTCCGTCCGTAAACTAATGGGCCACCCGTGCACATACAGCCATTCCAATGGCTTTCTCCGATACTATATCTAATCTACTCTCTGTTGCAGTGTTGTCTTCCCCTACTTTAGCTTGTCAACTCCTACCAGCGAATCTTTCTCAAGGAATCCAATGTTCACCTCTGCATCACAAGTACTAATCCTATGTTTATCCCTGCACGACAAGTACTGCACCTCACATTGTGAACATGTAGATTCTTCATCCTTTGCGATCTATTTTTACCTCCAACATCTCACCAACCTTGGCCCTACTATGAACAAACAAAAAGAGCCAATGTGATCTGCCTTCCTTTTCTTTTTGACCTTTTAAAAATAATATTTAAGAGGGATGAAATTACTCATTTAGGATATGATGAATTATATTTGAGTACATTAGTATTAATATTGATAAGAGTAAATTCATTATTTCTCAACTTGACATATGGACATCAATATCGTATAAAATAATAATATGTTATGTCAAGTCGATCATTTCAATCATCATCCTGACATTAATATCGTATAAAATAATAATATGTTATGTCAAGTCGATCATTTCAATCATGACGTAGAATATTTTTTTCGAATCATCTTTAGTTTAAAGAATATTTTCACAATTATAATGTCTTGATTATAAATAACATGTTCTTTCTCCCTTCTTTTTTCTTTGAACTTTCGTATTATTTCAAATCCTCGCTACTTTATGTATTAGATGGATTGAATTGGGAATATTCGATGTCGACGTCAACTTCTAATGGAGACACCTTGAGAGCTTAAAGATCTCGACATGTTATGAGTTCCACTCAAGAGTAGACCTCAATAAGTTATAAGTTTTACTTCAACACTTTTACATCATTTCAATAATTCGACTCTCATATGGTAATTTGGTTCTTCTTGTACATATCATCATCGACTTAAACGCGATCGTAAGAAATTATTGGCTCTAGGCTGCAACACATTGATTCATCATCAAAAACTAAATTAAACTGAGACTTGAGAGGTAATAGTTTGTTTACCTACATTTTAATTCCTAATTGATGGGAGACTAATATGATATCCTTGAGAAGTCCAAGTAAATATTTAATAAGACGAATCCACATTATACTAATTATTATTGACTTTAGCTCATCAAACTTTTATATTTGAGAAAATAATCTATCGATTATTATAAGATTATTTATTTTTTGATCAATCACTCAAAAAAAGTATATTTTTAAGAATTAGACTAAGATCTTATAAGAATCAGTAACCCTCCTCAAGACTAAAACAACATTATGAAATCTAAAAGCTAAGAAACTTATGGGTGTAGCTTATAAGATGTGTTAATACATAAAATTTATGTCAAATATCGAGACAAACAAAACATCCTTTAATTATCTTTTCCTTTTAGATGATTTCTCCACCCACCACTGCCTCACTGCATCTCTCCATCTCCACCAAATAAATGATTCGACACAAACTTGGAAACAATCAAGAAAATTTAATTGAATAGTCTTTCTTCACATATGAAGGAAAGCAGACGTTACAGAACGTCCAAAAGAACTCACAGTGGGATTTTCCCGCCCATTTCAAAAGCAGCATCGCTCGCTCCATCTTCCCGCCAAAAAAAAAATCCACCGAGCGAAGTGTGATCTCCCACGTGGGAATCCGACAAAGCGCCGCAATTGGAACGCCCTCCCCTGCACGTGACAAAAAAATTCCCACGCTTGCCGGTACCGGTGGCGCGGGGCTGCAATTAACCAACGATTCGCGTCACGAATCTTCAACTCTCCGGGCACGAGTCCCATCGCCACTCCCCCCTATCGCCTCGGCCGCTGCCACCCGTACACTAATGTGGCCCCGCGCCCGCTACCCACTGCCTGGATTCCCTCGCCAATTCATCGCCGATCAATACATACCTCGATTCGCCAAAACATATATATATATAACGCTTCTAACCTAGTAACGACTCAAGTCACGACGATGGTGTATCATTTCCTATCGCCAATTTTCATAAATCAAATGCTATTTTCCCTTTATTTCTTAATTTTGTATAAATGATAACTACTGTGATTTCATCTTGAACACAAAAGATATATTAAGAGCTCATATATAGTTCCACATGTACACTGAGCAGAGTCAAAAAAATGTTTCTTTTGCTTTAGGACAAGGTACTCGGCAAGTCAAAAGCCATGAGAAATCCAAATCTTGTGTCATCATTCAGCAAACGGGTGCAACTTCCTTCAGCTTTAGGTTCTCTCTCGAGGAACAAGCGAGGGAAAGAAACTTTCTCTATCTTTATCCACTGTTCCTTGTCTTCCTGTTGCACTTCTCCTCTGAAAAGAAATTTGAGCATGCCTGCTTTTGATTGTTGCAGCGTAGTTTCATGTGAACAATGAGCAGCTTCAACAGGAAAGCTCCATGAGAAAGCACTCCGTTTCCCTGAAACACAACCCCATCTTTTCCTTCCCACCATGACCACACAAAAGATTACCGCAGCAAGGAATCATCTTTATCCGGCTGGAGATCATGTATCATGATGAAAAAAGAGTGGCTTTTGGCACAAAGATTGAGCCTTCCTTTTTTCGATGTGGCTTCTGTGACCTTTGGTCCTCCAGTTTTGTTCTCTCTAGCTTTCAGCAAACACAAGGGGATGTTGTTCATGATCTTGAATGTGTATCCGATGTGCTTTGCATTGTAGCCCAACCATCTTGTGCTTCCAGCTACAGTTCATCAAACTCTCTAACCTGCATGAACAGTTCCATCTTGGAACCAAATTTCCCATCATGGAACCTAGTTCTTTAGCTTCTACCACTTCCAAGCTTCGCTGTTTCCAATCACATTGCTGCAGAATACGATCGTGCTGTTGAGAAGCACGGAAGGAATCTCCAGGCGAGCACCGTGCAAAGGACTCTCTAGGGTGGAGAGGTGGTCATCCCATCCTACCGCAGGATGAAGAGGTGGAGGCCATCTGGTCCCAGAGATGGAGTAGTAGGCTATCAGTTCATGAACAGAACCAGATAAATTACAGTTCATGCGTGGCGGTACTTTGGGAGACACAGAATACATTTTTATGGGGAAAAGATCTCCAGTTCATGCAGGATCTCATTGTGGCGGGTACTGTATTGTGTTGCGTTCTTCCCTGTGACAGCAGTAGCGTAGCCCACTGTTTCCGGGCTTTTATGCTGATTCCTGCGTCAAGGCATAAGAGATATGGGCGTTGATTTTGATGGCTCAATGCCATGGTTTTCGAAGAGCTTTGGATTCACGTGCATGGAAAGAATCTATCAGGATCCGATCAGCATTAAACCCAAATCTAGAAGGACGTCCCAAATAAATCCTTTTTTTCCCCCTGACATGTTTATGTACACATGTTTACCACGTAACTTTCCAAATGGAAATAATACTATTGGAGAGGAGTTTGCACAAGATGAAAGATCAAATCTCATCCTCCCTCAAAGAAAGAGAAGCTCTCCTGTCTATGGAAATCCTTGTCTAATGTAGAACTAGTAGCTTTAATCTCTTCTTTTTGCATGACAGAACCCTTTAGTTTTTTGGGGTAAAGTACTTCGAATAGCGAGGATATATATATATATATATATCGCTCTAAATATTTAAAAAATTTCTTGTATCCAATTAATAAACACAAACCATTACTGAATTAAAACTATAAAAACTAATAAATATTTTATTGTTTTCGCAAATTATTTGACCTCTAATGTTTCTATAGTATTTTCTAAGATGATATTATGATTCTATTTGGGTTTCGATGTCATTATGCTGACCGTCGTCTAACAGAGGTTAATTATAATGATGTAGTTCTACGCGCGGGCCCAAAAACGTGGGCATCCGGACCCGATAACCCGGTCCACGGACCCGTTTTTCGTCACCAGAAGCTTCCGCCGTGCTTCCATTAGCTGGCTGCCACGACTCCCGCACCGATTGGGTAGGTTTGAAGAACTTTCGTCCACCGCAACCATGTGCGTTAATCTCCTCGCACAAGATCCTGATGAAAGAACCCGTGCAAGGGGCTGCGAAGGCTGCTGCGTCGTCCAGAAATGCAATCATGGCCGTTGGTATTTCTACGGGTATTCTATTTGCTTACATGGCAATCATCCAGACGCATTGCAATGTTTCGTCCTACAATGACTCCGTATAGAATCTTGACTCGATCGCTTTCCCAGTCGAGAGGGCTGGGCCTTTAAAAGGCCTTGCCTCCCATCTACTTGCTGCTTTCCTCTTCGTGCCTCGGTGCCTCGATCTCCCTTTCTCGCAGGTATTCTCTTCTCTCTCGACATACTGTTAGATCTATTTCTCCTCCGAATGCTGTCTGGAATGATCCGATCTTATGATTGCGATCCTATCGGGGCTAGTTTGAGATTCGTTCTCGTTCTGTGTGATCTCTTTCTTCGTGCACAAATTTTCAGGTTTAGAATACGAAGTCGAGATCTTTTTTGCCTTTTCTGCTTTGGGTTTGTGGAATCCGTTTCGATTAATTTATTTTTCGTGCAAGTTTTCGCTGCTTTAATCTGGTTGTAACTTTAGGGATTGTTGTTGATATCCTAAGAGAAACTATTAACCTAGATTAGGCAGTCATGGATAAATAATTTCTATTTATTCAGTTAATGTCGGTTCTCTCAGGTTTTCTTGAGTTGAAGCTTCGAGCAAGGATCTTTGGAATTTTAGGAAGATGGCAGAGGTAGCAACTAGATGCAGATTCGTGTGATAAAATTATTTGTATTCTTGATCGATTTTGTTGAAGTTTGTTGCTTTTGCCGCAGGATGGGTACAAGGTCAAGTTACATGTGTACGACCTAAGCCAAGGACTTGCTCGGCAGCTTTCAATGACATTTTTGGGAAAGGTTATCGAAGCCATATGGTAAGCTTCTTGCTCTCTCATTCATTTGCCAAAATCTTGTTTAGAAAGAACGGTGCAGTTGTTAGATCACAATTCACGAGGAGTGCATTCTTTCAGAACCCTTTGTGGAAATTTAGTTTGAGGCTTTTGACGGCAAATTAAAATGGTTGAGAATATTGCATTTAGGGCTGAGTGTTCATTTAGTGGGCGGTTTGATCTGCCAATCAAAGCTCGTGCATGACTAAGTCTTCTGTACTAATTTGAGTTTGCATTGGAGATATTCACTGTAAATATAAACTATCATAGGCAAGTCTGGGTCTATCTTGCATAGTAGTATCGTTATTAGGGCATATGCAAAGTTTTTAGTGAAAATCAGATCTACAATGTGGGCATGTTAAGACTGTGTGTTTGATTAACTTGTTGGACCAAACCATTTATCAAATTGAAGACTGCAATAGGTTTCTGGTCTGATTTCTTGTCGACTTACTGAGTGTTCTGTATAGGCTTCTGACACCTAATTCACTGCTTAGGGCTCAGAACCATGGTTCGTCAGCTCTTTCTGATGATCTTGATGGATTCACTTGTTAATACTAGAAATTTGTTTCTTTGTGTTGTTCAACATTTGGACAAATAACTCAGGTTTTTGGTTGCATATCTCCTTAGAATTTGTAGATAGAGTAGTACGAGGCTATAGAACAGGATGTACTATAGAAATATGCTATATGTATGAAAATTTTAGATATTTATAATTACTTTTCTCTCTACTTTTCACTTAACTCTTAAGGGATGGAAGGGAAAGAGGGTGATATTATTGTGGTGGGTTTTCCTGTGAAGCATTTTGTGGTCATGTAGGTGGGTAATTCAAGTATTATAGAAAATCCAAATAAAATTGAAGATTTGAAGCTGGATAGATTATTGGAAGGAAAAAAAAAAAACAGTGCACATTGTGTTCCACTCTAATGGTGTTTTTGCAATGACATTTGACAGCATGTGGTTCATGATGATCGATGATCTAAAACATGCAACATTTACATACTGAAAGTTGATTATTATATTATTCTTCTTTAAAGAATAAAAGTATCCAAAATAGAATACTTATACTTCGCTTTGGTTTAAACTTTATTTTTTTGAGTTTTGAAATAATGAATACCGATCGGTACTGTCTTTATTGGTCCACCAAGGATTTATTTTTTTCCTAGTTGGATTAGTAATGACATGTCTTTCATCGAAGATTTAATGACAACATGTTGATATAATACGTTTGCAAAGGATGAAATGAATACATCAAAGGCAAACTCCAAGGGCTTGGTGCTGTCTACTTGAAACTTCTCTAGGTTTTACATCTGGTTGATGCACCTGATCTATGGCATTGTGACTTTTGCACATCCTTAACTAAGAAATATCCAATTATCAGAAGCATGGGGCTATTCCAGATTGAACTAAGTAGCTGACTTCAATTTGGTCGGGCGATTCAGAAGTCTATTCTGCAAATTGATCACTTATTTTCTTTAGTCATTTGCTTGGTTAGGTTTGATCTTTTTCTTTTCTTATTTTTGATAGCCCTAGATATAATTATAGAAGTTCATGGCAGGTTCAATTTCATCATATCTATCAAGTCAGCTTAATTGTGATGTTCTAGGGTTGAGTAGAAAACAATCTGAGGAGAGTTCAAATCATTTGTCTCTAGAATTCCTGATTGTTGAAGATTGGGTTCAATAGCTGTACTCTTTACTGGTATAGTGGGTGTTCTGGTAATTCTTATGCAAGAATGTTTTAAGAATTTTCAGAGCTAAACTTGTCTTTGCAAAGCTCTATGCAAAGCAAGTGTTAGAATAACATGTTGAACAAATTCTCAGTCTTCAAATTGCATATATGTAAAGGCAGCTGCGCTATATCGATGAGGTCAAAGCTTGCAATGTTTACAAGAAGGTGCACCTAATAATACTGAGGGGGTTATATTTACTGTAATTGTTGTTTTATTGGAAATTCGTTGATCAAGTAAATCTGGGGATTAGATTTAATGAAATTTGCAGTTTTATTAGATATTTATTGATAAAGTCAATTTGGGGACTAGACTTACTGTAATGACAGATTTATTGGAAATTAATTGAAGTGGTTCTGTTGAAATCTGGCTTACAAATATACTTGAGATCTCTCCCTCATTATAATGCAATCATATTCACTCAACCTTCCATCTTGCAATGTGAGATATGACAGGCACACTGGTTTGGTAGTCTATGGAAAGGAATACTATTTCTCAGGAGGCATTCAACAAGACCCAGCTGGAAAGACTCCCTATGGAACTCCAATCCGAGTTGTGGAATTGGGGGTGACACATGTTCCTGAGGAAGTCTTTGAGGAGTACTTGCAAGAGATCAGCGAACGCTACACAGCTGAGACTTACAACCTTCTCAGTCATAACTGCAACAACTTCAGCAATGAGGTGGCACAATTCCTTGTTAGCACCACAATTCCAGACTACATCCTTCAGCTTCCAAATGAAGTAATGAGCAGTCCCATGGGAGCACTTATACGTAAGATATCACATCTTTACTTTTTTTATTCTTTTATATCTAAGCTTATCCTTTATGTACTATGGGCTGGTCTTTTGCCATCCTGAAAGTCCCAAAATAAATCTTTAATAGAAAACAAGCAGCTTGGCTAGTGCCATACTGATAGAAAACAAGAGCGATGATAACATTTTCATTTCAGGCTAACGGAGCATCGAGCCTATGAATAATATCTAGTGGTCTATATGGAACTGAAAAGTTCCTATCTGACAGTGACTTAGGGTGGCTGCAACCTCCATAGAAACCCCTTTTAACCTCACAGCTTTCTTGCTCAGAGAAATTACTCTCTATTAGTTTCAACTGTGTCTTTTATGTTATTATTTAAAAGGTGATTTATGATCAGATAAACACATTGATTTGCAGTTCCCATGATTCAGCGGCTGGAAACAACTTTAAAGTCGGGTGCCGTACCTCAAGCTCCTCAATTCAATCCTGTATCCATGACCCAAACAATTGCTCCAACCAGCGTTTCTTCAAGCCCAACCAAGAGAGATGCCTCTGCAGAGTCCGGTGGCAATAACGCTGATTCCGGGAGTTCACGAGCAAAGGTTGTGGGTGATGCAAATTCAACTCCACCTGCAGTGAAACTTGCAACAGTAAGCGAAGAGAAGCAACCCCAGCTGGCTGAAGACCCTCTCGGTGACGCTCGCAACAAGGTGCAGGAAGAGATCACCAGGGAATTTGCTGCGATCATGGCGACCGGGACGATTCGTGCAAGTGAGGCTGCAGCCCTTGCGACAAGAAGAGTGATGGAAAGGCATGGGCGGTTGAATGTGCCCATGCAGCGAGGATAACACAAAAGGCGAATCGAATGCCATTCTTTCGTAGCAGTTTTTGCTGCTTCGGACATTTTAAACATAACTTGACTACCATATCCCACTATTCATCAATAAATTCAATGTGCTTGCAACGTAAATTGTCCTATTGGGTATGAGAAACTAACGCATTGTCGTGCATCTTTATTTCACGAAGTTGTATGTTTTCCTAAAGTTTTACATCGGTGGTTGATGGCATTTTTTGCAGCAATAATTCCTTTAATTTGCAACTTGAACTAGTTGCGTTTAATAGCGGTAAACTTATGGTCCTTCTAAAGCATCTATAAGAGAGCCAAAAGTTCCAGTAGTCTGACAAATTCTTTCCTAGTTACGCTCGTTAGTGGCAATCTCTCAGACATTCAGCTATTGTATCGCTGGTTATTGGCTTGCTTCATATGTGGGGCTTACAAACTAAAACTGAAAGCGTACAAGCTTTAAAACTATTATTGTTTGATATCGGTGATGTTGATCAGTCCAATTTAATTCAGTCCCAACACGTTTCATCTCATGTCGCCTGAGTAAGAATCTCCTACTACACAAAAATTGATGTTGGGATGAGAAGTTAAGAGCGTCCTACTACACAAAAATTGATGTTGGAATACGTTTGATGCCCAAGTCAAACATCCAAATAGGCATTCGGAGGTAGAAAGAGAAAGAGAGAGAATTCGACCTCGGTAGTCATGCTTGCATTAATCTTTGGTAGTTGGTCATTCCCTAATCACAAATCGCAAATGGTAAGAGAAATATTCCTCTGCGTAGAACAGCACTCCACGGTAGGATTGAGCCTGCAACATACCAATGCACCAACGATCCACGATACATCGATTTATTGATGGGTCTCGTGAAGAGGAAGACACGTGATAGAAAGAGAAGTACTAGACATTCCGACGAGTGATCATGATCTTTAACCGATGGCAGGCACAAGCATATTGAGAACGAAACTGGTACGTACCGTCGGATACAAGCAAATGTCGTCCCGTACAGTTTGATCCGACCAAAGTTGATGCACGTATCGGACCACAGACACGCGTCAAACCAAAACTTGTCAGCTTTTTACAGCGTCCTTCGCCAAACCCGAAATGAAACCCCCAACACCCCCCCACATGGTCCTCCTCCTCCATTAAATGGGTGCAGTTACCGTCGGTCCCACCATCCCTTTTCTATCAAAGCAGCGAGAAGGCATGGCGCGTAAATCAACTACTCATCATCCATCTGCACCACTCTCGTATTAAATATGCGTTCTCTTGGTTGGTCTGCTACCTAAATCCATTTACTACATCAACTCGTATTATGTGAAACCAATCATTCACTTATACCTTTAGCGTTTGCTTCGGTACAGTATCTTTCCTCCTGAATCATGAACTCATTTTCAGAACTGCAACAAAGGATCCCTCACTGGTCAAAGGCAGCCGACATGAACGGCATGCACCCGAGGAAGCACGCACCAAAATGGTTCCTTGGACATGGATACTGGCATCGTGTTCATCAACTTTATTCGTACGAAGAGAGCAGCATGTGGTTGGAGGACGACGTACAGCCGCAGCAGAAGCACGGAGAGAATAGGGTTTCCATCATTCCGAGGCAAATCAATGCGAGCAAACACAGAAAAGAGAGAAGGAATACAGGACTAACAATCCTGCCATCTCCAATGAAACATCACCGAGAAAGTAGACACCGACGAACCCAAACGAGATGGAAACAGTCGAACGTCGTCCTTCATCGGCAAATTCTTGTCACTTACCGGCTCGAGGACGATGACATGCAGTACGTCCCCACGGGATGATCTCCACGTGTCCTTCCTTATCACATCTGGAGCCACCGAGCCAGTTCCGTGGGGTTGACCACGCCAGGCACGTGAGCCCCGCCCCGCATCAACAAATACGAGGCCTCCTTGTACGTCCCCACCGGCTCGGCCGGGCCCGACTCAGGCGGCCTCTTTCCCGGGTCGGCCCGGTCCGGCCCGAGCCTCTTCCCGAGCAGCGTTCCCCTCGTGAGGAACTCGTGCGCCAGGTAGCCGGCCAGGAGCCGGTTGTCGTCCTTAGCCGGCTCAGCCGAGCTCGCCAGCTGGGGACGGGCAGGGCCGGACGCGTCGCGCTCCTTCCGCTTCCTCGGCGCGCCAAGCGTCCCAGGGCCACGGGCGTGGCTGGTCATCCCAACCCTTCCTGCTCTCGCCACGTCAGCACGCCGAAAGAGAAGAGTAGACCACCCAAAGTGGTCTTTAAATAATAATAAAAGGACGGAACAAAACGAACAGACGTAACGGAAATGTGGAGGGGAAAACAAGCTAGACTAAGAGTCCGGGGAAGGTGACCAGAGTCCGTCCTCTCACGCCGTTATAACGGCGACCTGACGGAGATCGCCGCCGGGTGACGGAGACGAGGAGGAGCAATTCGAACAATAATAGACACAGACGGAGAGAGGCAGAAGAATCGAGGATTTTGAGGAGGAAGAGTCGATCGCCAGAGGAGCCCTTTATGTAGTAGAGTTCCGCTCACGCAAGCCCCCGAGGCCCCATCAAAATTACCATATTGCCAACGATTCTCACTTGAAAAGACCGAAACATCCTCAACTTCCGATGTTCTTATCTGCGATCTAATCATCTTGACCTTGTTGATCCCGGTATAGATTTGGGCGTTTGATTGCCACAATGGGGTTTCCTACACTTGTCGTATTATATTGAATGGGAGGAATCCGATAAAGGTCGAAGCATCCAAACGAGGAGAACCCGAGGGTGGACCAGGAAAATGCGTTCAAGACTTTAGGGCACAAAGGTCATTGTAGGCGGCAGGAAGGATGGGAGCCTGGGCGGTGGTGGAGGATCGTGGACGGCAGCTGCGGGGGCACCGTACCCCAATGGTGATCCGCTGCGAGATCTACGTCTGCGGTTTCTCCACGTGGCTCACAAGAGACTGTTTAACGGACAAGATGTCTGATGCGGGATTGTACACCGTCCAAGTTTGGCACACGAGAAACACCGGCACTCTGCCCCTTCCCTTTACTTAAATGACGCAAGTGCCATGGAGGGATGCAGGCGTCGAGTTATGCGACTCTCGGATTTTGGCGTATACTTGTCATACATATTTTGCCGTTACTTCTCTCACCCACCAACCTTGGACTGTAAAAGAGACGGCCCCACAGATGGGACCCTCTGCAGTAATAATCATAAATAAAGGTTGAGCATAACACGTTCATGCATTAGGAAAGCCAATCTACGCCGCAATCAGAAGAAAGGAAACGACACATCCATCGATGTGCAGTCGGTAGCAACTGCAACAGTATGGGTTTCAAGAGAGTGTAAAGAGATCATCGCTGCAATCAAAAGGAAGGGGATAAGATCAATGGGAAGAGACTTCTTTACTGGAGCACAACGATGCTATGATTCCCATAGCAAACGTCAGGACAAAGAAGCTTTATGACTCGAACGATAAGTGCCGGTCTATCAAACTTTCAAAGCGCATTTCTTTTGAGATGCCCTTAGAGATGACAGCGGCCACAGTGAGAGCAATGCGCTTTGGATGCCTTAAGCTCCAAGCCCTCGACCTCCAAAGACACAAAAGCTAACACCTTCATAACCGGAAATCAAGTTCTAGCATGCGAATCACGCGAATCATTGAACACGAACGCTGATCGATCGAAACCAAAGAAGAAGCTCAACAATCGCCCAATAAACTAAAACCCTAGAAATTGGCGTACCGATCAAGCGAGAGATCCGTGTTGACCCAACCCATTCGATCTACGGCTTAATCCATCAGGATCCGGTAATCGATTCGAGGTTTTGCGGCCGCCGACAAGGATCGAAAGCCTGAGTCGACGAGGAGACGAGGGAGGGCGGGCCGAACAGGGAATTAATTGGCGGTGATGGTGTTCGCGGTCCAGTTTCGGCCTTAAATTACTTTGCACACTATCGAAGCCCATAGGCGAACCCCCAGAACAGATGGTGTCTCTTCGGTTCGATTTCAACACTACAACAGAGCTCAACCCGGTCCAAAATTAGGCTTACGTGACGTGGAATGTTGACCCCAACGCCACATGAGTCCGTGTTTGGTCAAAGAGCTCAACCAGGTCAAACATCCGCCTCGATCTAATTTGAAATGTATTGATCCGCCAACCTGGTTCGGATCTGAACCATTGGATGAATGGTTCGGGCATGAGTCGATAAATTGTGACCTGTGGCCGGGTGGGTCGGGTTCGGATCAACATTATAAATCCATTCCAATCTTGATCTAACAGCATAAGCTTCATGTCCTCCTATCTCATGATAATGAAGTGTACCGCTAACAGAATTAATTTGCACCCTACTAACCGATCGATTCCATGTCAATTCATCATTACTGCAATCAAATCATGTCGGCAATTGAGTCGCGACGCATAATAATGAATCAGCCCTGTCACGTGTTGCACACTACCATTATTCTATTGCAACTCTCTTCTTAGCTTCGGCGTTGTTCCAAAGTATTCTGGATGATTCCATCAATCAACCGTGCTTCTTGGTTAGGTTGTCGGGAGTCGGTCCGAACGCCATTCTCATCGCGAATAGTAGCCATGCACACACGAACACAGTGTATGTATTTGATCGTCCGCATACAGAAGTACATCAGACACTGTCATCTCATTCGATTTCTCGTAACCGCACATCCTATGCAAACAGGTTCCACTCTTGCCAGAGTGACAGTAGCAGGTCTCTCCTTCACCGATGGTTTGGTGTGGCTACAGTGAGGAGATGGTTAAGTGCAAAGTCTTCTATAGTGAAGTTGCTTGTCATGGCATTTACTCGCTCACGTGATGCTTGCATGGGATTATGACCTATCCGTGAAGCCATATGTGTTGAATAGTGGACATCACAATGGAGCATGTTTGACCACGAGTATCTTAGAATATATATACCACCAAATGCGCTGCATCTTCGCACGCAGCACTACGCTTGGACTCCATGATATCTTACGTAGTTTATTGCACCATGGAGCACCACCAAACAAGAGCAACTAGCGCAAGAAAGAATGGACCATGTCACGTGAGGCACTGTAGTCGGTCGGCCTTGGCCTTTATAAAAGCCTCGCGACCTCTTGATGTGAAGATGCGGGAAAAAGAAGAAGAAGAGAGAAGAGGAAATTGTCAAGCGACAATGAAGCCTTCCATTCTCGCTTTTGTTCTTCTGATCATCGCCATCTGCAGTGGAGTCGTTGCCGCCGCCGCCAGATCTCCCGCCGAGTTCGTGCGGGAGTCCTGTATGGTCACGCAGTACCCCGCGCTGTGCGAGCAGTGCCTGGTGGCGTACGCGCAAGCGGTCCACCGGAGCAAGCACGAGCTGGCCCGGGCGGCCCTGTCGGTCAGCGCCGACCGGGCCGGGTCCGCCTCCGCCTTCGTGAGACGGATGTCGGCCGGGGGCGGGAAGAGCCTCCGGTCGCGGGAGGCCGGCGCGGTGCGGGACTGCATCGGGACCATGCAGGACAGCGAGGACCGGCTGAGGCGGTCGGTCAGGGAGATGAGGCGGATGGGGCGGCCGCGGAGCCCCCGGTTCGCCTGGCACCTCAGCAACGTCCGGACCTGGGTCAGCGCCTCGCTCACCGACGAGACGACGTGCCTCGACGGCCTCTCCCAGTACGCCAGCCCGGCCGTGCGGGCAGCCATCAGGAAGAAGGTGCTCGAGGTATCCCAGGTCACGAGCAACGCCTTGGCCCTCGTGAACCAACTCAGCCCTAGGAACTGAACCCGGTTCATCTTCTCCTCCTCTTGAAGTCACATAGGAGTCCATCGTCGTCGTCTTCCCCCAGTCGCATGTTGTCCATAGAATCTATGTATACCCATAACGCAGTGTACGTTGATGACTACAATATATGTGTGTGAAGCAAAGAGTACTGTCCTGTAAAGCATGTAGTTAAGTGTTTCATGGATGTATACTGCTAATGGAAGCTTTGGTGCGGTGATGGCAGTCATGTCTTCGTTTACTGGTCTTCTGACCAGCTTCATCGTCTGTAAAGGAAGACAACCTTCAAAGCAAAGCAAATATATTAGAGTTGGACTGTGATGAGGAGGGAAGCCAACAAAGTCTGACTCTTCCTTCCTCTCCGCTCTTCAACCTTCTTTGGCTACCCTTCACGTCTCTGATGACTTGCTTTGTAATCGTCCATGCCTAACTTTTGCTTCGGATTCCCTCTCCGAGCAAAGTCCACTGATGGGAGAGGGATCCACCCGGAGACAGCCACCGGCAATTACGGCATCGTGTCGCTACATCAAATGCTTGTCATCCACGCATCCGAAGGAGGATGTACTTCAATTTCCACTCAGGTTATTTCCCACCACGAACCTACTGCCCACCAGCGTTGGCCGTTTCCCCACTCTATAGCTCAGATGAGTCGTGTTGCTGCCATGAAAAAGGGTCGGAAGTTGACGCATTGTCTTCGAGTGCCGATATGAAGAAAGGTGTGATCGACATTTACGGTCTAAGCTAGAGGTACCGAGTGAGGAGACAAGGAGGAAACAGAGGTGTCGGGTGCAGGAACGGGGATGGGGAGAGAAAGCATGTGAATGGCAATAGGATCGTCTTTGGAGTAGCATGAGGTGAGAGGAGAGGAGGAGATGGGCCACACACAGAGACTGCCGCAGATGGAGGTGCAGCATCAGCGTGGTCCATTGGATTCTCGAGAGGCATAGAGAGGAACATTCACTTTTCCTTTTGATCTTTCGAACTATGTAAGTAACTACATGAAGAAGATTGCATCTCAACATTGTTATTCTTCATTTCAATCACACAGACAGTCTCGTCAGGATTTTTATTTTTATTTTTATTTCACTTTGAGAAATGTTAGAAGAATTTAATTCTTTGATTAATACATCTTTTCCTCAAAATTAGGATGTCAATCTTTAGCATCAAAAACATATTTCTTTCGTATTATAACCAGAGATAGTCTTGTCTGGAACTTAAGATGTCAATATCTTTTGAGGCCATATAATCATTTATCTAAAAAGGATGAATAGAATGCAGGAAGCTCCCATCAATACATAATTTGAGACGGGTCAATACATACAAATTTATCCTTATAAAGAGAAACACTAGTCACTAAGGTACCAAGGAACGATCATATTGTTCTACCAATACTATCGAAATTATGACTAGTCCAATAGGCAACATGAAACCTGAGGGATTTGTTGTTAGAAAGAAGCTTAGTAGAACGAGCTGGGAGAGCAGTCACCCTATTGATTGCTTTGAGGCTTTTGGGATGTATGAGAAGAATGCAAGTGGGCAAGCGGCAATCCTCTTAATTACCTCCCATATGCACAGGACCACAGCACAGCATGGGTCTCTTAAATATCAGAAGAGAAGATTGTGGTCATCATGATGCACACATTCTTGCCACTACATCAAGGGAGAGAACCACTAAGTTATGGTTTAAAGAGTTCCCAACCTTTTGCTTCTTTATCGCGATTGAGCTCAGTAGAAATGAGCTG